AGTAGAATAAAAGACCAACATCTTTTCTGGGGCCATCTGGGAGACTGGGTTTCTTCTGCAACTCGAGTCCTGTCATGACCACGTTCCTGCTTTGGAGGCTGACTACTGGGGGCACAACAGGCCTCAGAGCGTTCTTCAGGGGCCTCGCCTTTCCCACTCCTGGAAGGAAGGCGCACATTGCTTGAAGGAGCGCATTTTGCTTGATTTGATGTTAATACAGCTGTCTTTTCTGTGGTTGTCGTTGACAGAGAAAACCCCGAGCCGGGGATGCTGAGTCAGATGATCCTGATGCACCCTGTCCCTCCTCACTCACCTGCTCTTCTGCCTCTGCAGGTTCCTCCACTGCTCGCTGATGTGACAGCATTCCCTCTGCCCCCTCACACTCCGTTATCTGCATCCTTAACCGCTGTCTTGCCACAGTGTAAGGACTGGAGTATGTTATCCAACGCGGAGGCCACGTACATAAACAAAGCCATAGCAGATCGGAACTTGCCAGAGCTGGTATCTGCCATCAGGGAGACTGCGAAGATGGCATCCAGGACACCAGTCAACGTTGCTGTGACAGGGAACTCTGGCAATGGCATGTCCAGCTTCATCAATGCCCTTCGGAACATAGGACATGAGGAGGAGGCCTCAGCTCCTGTCGGGGTGCTAAAAACTACCCAAACACGTGCCTGCTATCTATCTCCCCACTTCCCCAACGTGGAGCTGTGGGACCTGCCTGGCACAGAGTGCGCCGCCCAAAGCCTGGAGAACTATGCGATGGAAATGCAGTTCAGCCGATATGACTTCTTCATCATCATCGCGTCTGAACAGTTCAGCATGAATCACGTGATGCTTGCCCAAACCATGGAGAACATGAGAAAAAAGTTCTACGTTGTCTGGACCAAGCTGGACATCGATCTCAACACAAGTGCCCTCCCCGAAGGGCAGCTGCGGCAGATTATCAGGGAAAATATTCTGGAAAATCTCCAGAAGCAGCAGGTGTGTGAACCCCCTATATTCCTCGTCTCCAGCTTTGATCCTTTATCATATGACTTCCCAAAGCTTAGAGACTCATTGCAAATGGATCTCATGAGAATTAGATGCGATGAGCTCCTTCAAAACCTGTCCCATACGTGTGAGAGAGCCGTTAATGACAAAGTGTCCTTCCTGCAGAAGAAAATATCCACAGAGTCTCTCCAGGATGCCTGTGGCATCTCAGATGCAGATGACTTGGCTGCATGTCTGAAAGCCTACCAATTGCTGTTTGGTGTGGACGATGAATCTCTCTGGCAGGTGGCACAGAGAGTGGGGAGGACATTCGCAGACTACACGAACATCATGAAGTCCCATGATGTGGAAGGTCTCAGCACGAGGAATTGGAAACTGACTTGTATGACTTGTACAGTCTTCAGGGCATTCCTTGGTTTACTTAGATGTATCCCATGGTTAGGTAATCTCATCATCGGCTACTTTAGAGGAAAGAAACAAAGGTGTTTACTTGAGATAGTTGCCGAGGACACCAAGGCGATCATAAGAAAAGTCCTGGAAGACTCCATCATCCCACAGTGAAAGCCAACTTGGGAAAAGCCCAGCAGGCTCTTCTGTCAGGTGGCACGAAGGACCTCCGGGAGTTCTCTTCTCAATAGGATACCCCTTTCTCCACTCCCAATCAGAGATTTCAGTTAATATCTTCCTCTATTTCTTAGTGTTATAAATTCCTTGAAATCAATTACGAAAATCGCTTATCGTAGTAGCACAAATCAATGTACCATTCATCTGAGCAACAGTCCTGTTGTTGCTGTTGAAGTCATTTAATCAACTTCCCAGAAATGCCATATGGAAATCGTGCTTTCAGTTGCAAAGCTGCATGCCTGTCCAGATCAGTATCTTACCCACCTGCTTCATTAAAATTCTTCACTGAATCTTTCATTCTCCCTTTTGCACTTATTTTTCCCCTTCATTCCACTGGAGTGAACAAGACACACTCGGTGCAGGGGTATGTCACAGTTTTAGGGGAGCAGACAAAGAGTGTGGTTGAAACTGTACTTTGAAACTTGTTGGGTGTTGGGCCAAGTTTCCCAGGGCAACCTGCCTGCTTCAAAGGTCCTTTCCCCTCACGGCACTCTCTACCAGGTCCCTACAAATGATCAGTAATTTGAAAGCCGATATAGGCTTCTATCATCCAGGTCTCGGCAGGAAGGTTATGGCACCCTCAAACCGGGTCATTTGGGAAGACTTTAATAATGAGGGTATTTTCAAGAGTAAGGGCATATGGCAGGGAGACCACCAAGACAAAGTGTTGACTCCAGGGCAAGAGATGGAGGGGAGGAGCCGTCTCCTCACTTGGACAGGCAGGTGGTGGGGCGGGTTGCTTGAATCTGAAGGTGGTGTCTGCTAGAGAGGCCCACCTGATAGGAGCTGTGGCCACAGTAGAGGTTTGCAACCTAACACCTGTGGCCTACCAGGGGGAGTGGAGAAGATGAAACCCTGCCCTCACCTTCCTCCCTCCTAGGCTCCTGCAAGCGATGTCCATGGCAAAATCCAGACAGATCCAGAGGGCCAGATACCCATCGATATAGTCCATACAGGTCAGAGTGGAGGACAGCTGGTAAACTGGTGGGAATGAAAGATAATCATCTCAGGAGTATACTCCAAGTAATTGCAAAGCAAGTGTATTCCAATGCCATGGGCAGAGAAAATGGCCAATCACTGATCTGAATAGTAAACCCGGACATTCATGACATATGTGCAAAGCAGTACACGTCCCTCAGTTTATTTTTGGCATTTCCTCTTCATTATACTTTTACTGACATATCTCTGAATTAGGTATGTGCATACCATTGTTCCACCAGCTTAGGATAGGCATAATGCAATTATCACCTTGTATGTGCTTTTGTCCCTGACACTGTTCCTTTTTTAACCTGCCATTAGTTCAGATCATTCATGGATCAAGGACCTAATAAAAGAGTTTGATTTCCCCCTCTTTTTTTACCCTTATTACACCTCAAAATTTCCCAGCTCTATTCACTCAATGTGCTAATTTAATCACGAAGTATATCTTTCCCCCTCTTCCACCAAGGTGTCCCATCTGGAGTCGTAAAGAGTGGCTTTTTTCGTCTCTCATCCCTTCCAGATTCCTCCGTACCACCCAGACATCGATAGGTCACCGCTGCAATCTGCTAGGCATGTCCCAGTCAGCACAGATGGCTTAGAAATCCACTATTTCACTGACATGTCAACATGTCATCATCTGGGTGATGAATTCTAGTAGGACCTTATAAGCCTTACTTCTCTGCTAAGTAACTCCTGGAAGGAGAAGACCTGTTAGCTTCATGAATTACTCAAGAATTTCTTGTATCTCTTCCCTCATTTCCCACTACTGAGCTGGCACTTTCAGTTCTAGCAACCGCAGTCAACTTCCAGGCCCCCAGATGGACCAAGCTTTTTTGTGCTTTTGGGTTTTTGTTCATGATCTCCTTTTTACCATTGTATTTACCAGACTAGTACTTACCTAGAATATGTAGAATAATAATGTATTGAGTACTTGCAGTTTGTTGAGTAGATTTTAATTATTCTCACCCTACACACACGCACACACACACACACACACACACACACACACACACAAGTGCGTGTGTGCACGCAAAAGGTAATCATGCAAGGTGATGAATATGTTAATGCGCTTTAATGTAGTACTTTTGTCACGATGTATATATATGCCAAAACATCACGGTATGTGTCTTTTTTTTTATTTTGGCATATTATGGGGGTACAGATTTTAAGGTGTCAATAAATGCCCATTCCCCCCCTCCCCCCACAAGTCTGAGTCTCCAGCATGACCATCCCCTAGATGGTGCACATCTCACTCATTATATATGTAT